GAACAATCAGTTGTATGGGAGCTATATGTTATAGTGGTCCGATTCTTCCGGTTCCGACAAATGATTAATACATTATAAAAATACACCCACCTACCAAATTTGATCCGGATATCTCGAAAACTGAGAGACTAGATTGCATACAAACAGACAGACAGACAGGACAGACGGACAGACGGACATGGCTAAATCAACTCAGCTCGACGTTCTGATCATATGAGTATACATTTTAATGGGTCTATCTCTTTTTGTTCTGGTACTTACAAACATCGGACCGAAGTTATAATACCATTTCATGCTCATGAAAGGTATAAAAAGTTGCAAAACAGAAATAGAAACAAAACAGAAGGGAATTATTCATTTATTTGGCATCGCTGACTATTTTCGCCGATTTTTTGGTCATTCACACTCGTTTTTAAATTCAAATATCAAACAACATTAATCAGATATTGGTCGTAAATAACCTGTCACTATAAGAAAATTCCTTTAAGATAAACATCACTGGTCGCAGTTTCTCGATATGTAATTCCACCTGCTACTTTATCACTCGTCACAGCTCGTAGCAATCCTACTACAAAAACATCACTGCGATTGTTCCTTTGCCGCAGTCTGTCACGGTGACTTTTTGGAAGTTGTCACCGAAGTTACCCGTGACTTTTGAGTAACCGTGACAATGTCACAGGTACGAAAATATCTGCCACCTCTATCGGTAATTTGTATCTCAAATAATTTTTTACTCAATGACTGCGCAAAATATGTTTCTCAACGATTTTATACTTTTTATTTGATAACAAATGTAGGTATTTTTTTTTTAAGCAAAAGCTAATTATACCCAGACTGATGTAGCCGATAAGAGGTGCATACATATGTACATACATAAATATTTTATAGCAGATATAAAAATGAATATTTTTTTATTTTCAAAAAGGTAAACACAAAATGATAATGAAAGCCGTATGGCTGTTAGAAATCTTCAGAATGCCAAACGTGTTCTTTGCTGAGTGAGCTTTTAGAGTTATATTTTCAGGTGTTAAAGCCACTATAAGGGCCCGATTTGAGGTTACTCACTGATTACTTAAACGATCTGAGGCGAGAGTATTCTATCATCGACCATATTGGTTCATGCTCACCAACAGTAAGAATGATGACAAGTAGGAGCATCTTCTGATCTATGCAAAATTAACTCCATTTAAATTTTTTATGACTCTATAATTTAGTAGAGATATCAGTTGAAGAACAAAGTATGATAAATGCTCAATACAAAATATCTAATTTGTCTTCTATACTATAGATTAAATTAGATAAAGCTGATTAGCCACCAGGTGTCTTCGCAGAGCCCATTAAATTTCCGGAACACTACCGAGCCCGAATACCAAAGCAAATTTTCAAAAACGTACAGTAGCGAAAATATAAACAAGGAAGAGATATTTAAGCATTATTTTGCTATTCCTCTTTCGTTTATTTAATGTTTATAACTTTTATATGAAAGTGTGGCCCGTTATTTAAGAAAAACTATTTAAGGCAATTCCAAACTTTGTACAAAAATTAGAAAAAATCTACAAAGTTTCATCAAAATGTTTAATTTTTATTTGTATGCCTTAGCAACTTTCTGAGTACACAGTTTTGTAATTAATTCAATTTTAGTATAATACAGTTCAATTTGAAGTAGCTCATCTGGAGACCTCATCATAAATCATCATAATGGAGTAAAGTGACAATGTTCAGCATTAAGACATCCAAAAGATTTCCACCAAGCCATTTTCATTCATGTTCATCTCACTAGAGTCTTTCCTTCAGCTAGCCTGAGCTTCTTTATAGTCCGCTTCTAACTAAGTGACCATTAGGAACCTCACTTATCTTTGGATTACACATTTGGGCGCTCCTTCTGCTCTATCAGACCCCATCTCATTCCCATTCAATTTATATTTTCAGGCAGTCTAAGTGTTTTGAGACTACTTTTATGCAGAGAGAACTAAAATAATTCGTAATTAAAAACAAAAAAAATTTGTCTATTTGTGCTTCTTCAAGTTCCATTCAGATTGAAAAAAACTTTCCCTTTTTAGTTCAGTTAAAATTTATTAAGTTTTTGTTTGTTTGTTGCACACTGTGAACGCTCATTCCATGGCTCATGCATATGCGATTGCAATTTGCATATTTTACTAGATGGCAAGCAATACAGCTAGACCGACTTAATCGTAAACCGCATACAAAATCGATATGAAATCAAAAGCAGCAAAGACGACACATTACTTTAGCTTAACACATACACATTTTAATCTAATATTTTAATACTAACACGGAATGATATTTAATTTTAGCAAATACCAAAAATATAAATAATACAATATGCAAAGATTAGTTAATTCATTTCGCACCGACGATGGGTTCCACATGCACATGAATGCCATCTTGACTCGTCAACACAAAAGCTTCTTTCTTAATTTCGAGCGGCACTTTTGTCCGAGGCGCCAACGAAAACTTGAAGTGTTTGAGCAACAGCGCCAAGCCCACCATGGCTTGCATTTTACCGAAGCGCAGGCCAATGCAATTGCGTGGACCCTCGCCGAAGGGCAGCCAAGCCATGGGATGGCGCTTGGCAATCGCTTCGGGTTCGAAACGCGCTGGATCGAAACGATCGGGATCTGGATAAATTTCGGGATCACGATGAATCGCATCGACGGGTATGACAATAATGACACCCTTCTCAATCACATACTTAGTGTTTGGCACGCGGTAGTCGTTGAGAGTTTTGCGCATGGTAATCGAGGCAACTGAGTATTTGCGTAGGGTTTCTGAAAAATACCAAATTTTTAGTTGACACACTACTCACGATCGCAAACAACATACTAACCGCATAAAATCTGATGCAGATACTTCATATCGCGCATGCACTCATACGTAAATTGCCCATCATGCCGTGCCAGCACAGTCCGAATCTCCTCGCGCGCCTTCGTTTGCATCTCCTGATTCAAGGCGAGTTCATAGAGCGCAAAACCCATCGTGCTGGAGCTTGTTTCGAAGCCAGCAATGAAGAAGACGAAAGCTTGCGCCGTTATCTGCTCCAGAGTCAAACCATCCTCCCCTTGGTCTTTCAGATCCAACAGCAGATTCATAAAATCATTACGTTGTATGCCTTCCTTTTCTCTATACGCCGCTGTGTCGCGCACGACCTTACGGAAGAAGTCGCTGACATCTTCCGGCGTAAATTTTAGGCCGATTTTGCGCGCCAATTCTGGATATGCTTGAGCAAAGCCAAATGCTAAGCGTCCATTTCTACGTGTCGAAAAGATTTTCTTGCCCATAACGCGGAATTGCGTGTTTGGCTCATGCAGACTATTACATTCCAGCCCAAAGGCGCAACTGCCTATAACGTCTGTGGTGAAGCGCGCCAGCAGGTCCCTTATTTCTATGCCCTGCGCGGACACGTCTGCCGTGCCGGCAGTAGTCTCCTTTACCTTTTCCGCCTCATGGCGTAGCACGTTTACAAACTCGTTTGCCACCTTTACCACTGTTGGAAACATAAACTTCATCTTGGCTGAGGTGAATGTCGGTGTAAGCTTTGTACGCATAGAACGCCATTTTTCACCGTCCAAATTGAAGACGTGCCCGGAAATTGGATCATCCTTCTCATTGTAGTAAGCGCCGCGACTTGAAAAATTTGCAAAATCTTTAACCAACACATGCTTGACAAGGTCGAGGTCGAAGATAATAGCAGCGACGCGCATCGACAAGTGGAAGCCCCCAAAAGGCGCGGCATGTTTGTATTTATTATAGCAATCGTAGAAGGGATCACGTAACGCTTGAGTGCGGCCCACACCGCTCAGGCTGCCGTAGAGTAGCGACGGTTTATCGTGAACAATTCCCCGTTCGGCCCAATAGTTGAGACGTTTGCGGCACCACACAAACAGGAGCGTTGCGGCACCAAGGAAGAGGTAAAGGGGTATCCAAAGCGATAAATACGCCATTATTGCTTGTATGCAATGTATTTATGCACTGTCACAAGTTGCTTTTTATTATTTTTGCATCTATGCTTTTTTTGTTTCTCTTTCAATAGCGCAACAAAAAATATGTAGTTAAACAACAAGAAAACGCGCGCGCTCTATCGAGCGTTTGAGCACAAACTAATAGGGAACAGATGACGGAGCGGTCAAGCAAGCAAGCGAATTAGCTGACAGAATAGCAA